TACTTTTCAGGCTCGCTGAAATTGACCCTCATTTACAGCTTTGTTCTTCCAAATAAAGACCTCAGTCTAGTAGCTCCATTCAGCTGTAGACTTCTTTTATGAATGAGTGTAAAACATTCCCACATGCTGAAACATGTTTGGCTCGTGGTCAAGCAGTTATGAATATATCAATACCTCCTGCCTCATATTATGTCGTGATCTGTGAGGTTTGGAGATTAAATTATTCTTGCCCTAGCTGAGACTGATTTGGTTGCTCATAAACACAGTTTCTTATCAGTTTCATAAGAATCCAGTCACTTCCTACATCTTAGGTTTTCTGAAATGTTAACTAAAGGTTTTTAAGGCCACTGGGAGCATCAAATTTGTCGTGGCTTAGCCCCGTTGTGATTGGGGTGCACTGTAACACCTGGACCACGTGTGTGGGATGGTTAGGGCCACCTGTACTCTCATCCGTGAGTGTCTGGAAGAGGCGAATGGTCTGTCAATGCCATTAACACTTTTCCTAAAAGTGATTTCCACATATAGACCACTTTATATTACATCGTCTTGAATTTTAGTGCTTTGTATTGAATTTTATTCCTGCTTTACTACTGTTCAAGGCAGTTCTTGGTTTTAGTGTCAGAGTGCTCCTGTAATTTATACGAAAGAAATCTTACAAATTAGCGCTTGATGAGCAAAAACTGATAATCACTATCATTATTTCATCACCTCTCCTTCATCATGCTTTTTACTGCGTCTTTGATTTTATAATGCCAGTTCTAAAGGACACCAAGAAACTGATCTAAAATATATTCTGCAGCATAAAAATTAGGTATTTGGTTGTAAGTTTATGGGTTTTTAACAACTTCTTTGCTAACAGTTTTTTAAACTTTGTGCTTTTGAAATAATTTTGAGTTTACATGGAAGCTGTAGAAATAGCACACTGAGCTCTAGTGTATCCTGTATCCCTGTTCCCTACTACTCCCTACTACTGACACTTCTGAAAAGTTAAGGATATGATACTCTACTGTCCCCTAAGCTTTGATGCATGCTTCCCAAGTATAAGGACACTCTCTTACATGACCACAGGGCAGCTGTCAAAATCAGGACATTAACATTGATCTGATGCCACCATCTATCTAAACCATAGGCCCCATTCAGATTTTGCTGATTATCCCAACAATACCCATTCTGTCCTAGATCCAATCCAGGATCACATGTATTTAGTTTTTGTGTCTTTTAGTTTACTTCAGTCTGAATCAGTTCCTCATCTTTCTTTGTCTTTCTTGGGCCTTGATCTTTTTGAAAATTACAAGCCATTAACTTTGTAGAATGTCCCTGAGTTGGGGTTTGATTATGTCCCCTGATATATGCACTTTCACAGGCAAACCACCGAGATGGTGCTATGCTCGGTGCCTAGTGACAGAGGCCTTCTTACCAGTTAGGCTAACTTTTTTAAAATATTTTTTTAAATGTGAAATTATTATGGGGGCATAAATGTTTTTGGTTATATGGATCACTTTTGTAATGCTTGAGTCAGGCTGTAAGTGCGCCCATCACCCAGACAGTGCTCATTGTACCTGTTTGGTAGTTTTTTCCCTATCCCCTTCTACCCCCTGGGCTAACATTTATCAGTGGGATAAAATTGTATTTCCAGGGTTCTCTAAAGTTGACAAGTATAATATAATTTTAAATCAATAAGTAATCGGTAAGTACTTTGTGAGGAAATATTTTAGGGCTGTGTAAATATAGTCAATTCCCATTATTCGTGGCAGTCATGTTCTATAAAGTCACCGTGAACACTGATTAGCCAATACTGATCATTGCTCCTAGGGGAGACACAAGGTTGGGCTCCTGTCACAACACAGTCGCCAGCCAATCAATAGACAACCCTTTTTTATGTGCCTTTCTGTTTAAAGACCCCCTTATTTAACATATATTGTGAATTCAGTGATATCGAACTCATGGCCAACAGGGCTGTAACTCGTGCCTGAAGGAAACTTACCTAACACACGTGTTTTTCTCCATAAGACACGCTACAGCCTCTTGCACTTAGGAACACGAGACAGCGCTACAGCACTACACTTGGGGCCATTTTAAACAATGAGATCGCCAACAAAAAGCACAAAGTTTTGAAAAATGTGACAATGTATTATGACAGGGACACTCGTTTACAATATGAGCGCTGAAATAAGAAGGCAGAGCATCACCTGGGTTTCACCTGAGCTGGGAAGGTGGGAGGGCATCAGACAACTCAAATTTTTTGCTGATCTGTGCATGATTGTGAAGGCTCTGTGAGTATTAATTTTGGGGTTACAGATACATTTTAGTGAGCAGACAACTTTGGAAATAGGGAATTCATGAATAATGAGGATGGACCGTATCTTATTCCTGTTAGATTTTTACTTACTGGTTCTAGCATCCACTGAGGTCAAATTTTCCGAGATTGGCCATTGGGAATCCTTCAAGCTGCCTTCTGTGTCCTTCTGATGTGCCCTCATCATTCTAAGAGCACTTCTTTGCTTTCTTGTTCAACAAGATTTTCCAGGCTTAGCTTGTATTTTCTCTGCCTCAGCTCTGAAGGTAGATATTTTTCCAAGGAGCTCTGGTTCCCTTTTAGTGGAAAATGGCTTTTAGAAACCAAGAATTGGGTGCTAGGTGGGCTTATTCCTACCGGGCTGTCATTACTTCTAAGCCTGCTAGCAGACAGAGTTAGAACATACGTGTATACACATGGGTATGTGTGCACACTCACAGTCTATCGTCATCTAATCTTTCTATCTAAACCATGAATTTATACTAATATCTCCAGTACCAATCTGATATCTAACTGTTCCCCTTTCTGTATTTGTAACTCTCTTCTTTGGCAGTTAGAAAACTGATTCTCGTTATTCTCAATGTATTTATTTTTTTTGCTAAGTCCCCCCTTCATGTAAAAAAAGCACCCAGCCCCACTAACCAAAGGTAAAACCCTGGATACTCTGGCTTCTACTCCCCATTCCCATAGGACATGTAGGGTGAAAGCTCGGTCCCTATAAAGGGGAAGGACAAAGGTGGAAGAAAGAAGAAAGCTAACAGAATTGTTGAAAGTCTGAACTTTCGCTAATTCTTCTTAAATAACAGCAGACCTTTTTTTTTTAATAAAAGAAGAGAGAGAACTATGATGTCTATTTTTAGGTAACCTTAAAATTAGAAGACTATTTTATCCTACCAAATGGGTATAGAAGAAAAACCAGTTTGCTATAACTAGTATCTCTTAAAATATTTATGTGATACATATGTTGTCTTATTATATTGAAAATTTATTTTATATTTTCTCCAGATGTTTTAGAGTCAACACATTTGGCTTTTAATATACTGTTAAGCTTAATTTGAATCCTTAAATGTTGATAAGTAATCTTAACTTTCTAATTTTAAAATTTTAAATATGGCATTTTAATTTATAATGTTTACAAGAGAATATAGGATCATTTTATGAAGTACTTTGATTATGTTTTCCTCTGGTGTGTTTATCCATGTTAAAAAATAAATCATGCATCTTAATTTTTCTTTTAAATGTTAATTTGAACTTAAAAAATTAAATTAAGATACTGAAAATTAAATTTAATTTAAATTTTGAAATGACGATAGTGAATAGTCTTGACATTTTAAGTTTTAAATTCTGGTGAATAGGAGGCTATGAATTATAGCTTTAATAAAAGTTTTTGGTTAATTTTAATGAAATGTCTTTAGTATGTTGGAGCATAAGGAGATAGTTGTTCTCTGAGATGACTATATTGTCAAAAATAGTGCAGCAAAATATAATAGTGTAGCTTACCTTTTCCATGAAGATACGTAAAGATTATATAAATATGTGGTAATTTACATTATAAACAAGCAAAAAATACAAAAGTATATGTACAAGAATCTCCTTTTATTCCTCTTTTTCCCAATCTTAGAACCCATCACAAACTTAAACTCTTAATAGTTTTCTGTTATATATTGAGAAGTATACATTTGACCATATATAAATATATTGTTTAAGTTTGTTTTATTTTTACTTAAATGTGATTACTCACCCATGCATGTGTATTTTTGCAGCTTGCTTCAATATGTCTTGGAGTTCTTTTATGCCAGTACATACAGCTCTATTTCATTTCTAACTACTGCATAATGTCCCATTTTATGGCTGTGCCATAATTTATTTAAACATTTTTCATTGATGCACATTTAAATTTTCCTCGTAAATGTTTGCTATTATAAACAATGCTGCAATGAAAATACTTGCACATATATCTTGAAGCACATATATGGCAAGTTCTGTAAATAATAAATGACTAGGCTCAAAAATGAGACTTTTCTTTCTTCCTTCCTTCCCTGATGGGGTAGCTCAGCAGGTGCTAAGCCCTCGCCTCTGGGATCTCCTTCGTCTTTGGAGATCACGACTCTTTGTGCCTCATTTGAAGTATGTTGGAGTGTCTGACCTGATGGCCTTTTGGCATTGTTAGCTGTGATTATTTCCTGTTTCATAATGAGGCTGGCAGGTCAGATGTGCAACATCATGTACCTGTCCCTCTGCAGGCCTACAGAGATGTCAGCTCAGAGTGCTTTTCTCAGAAAAATGGTAGTTGAGTGAAGTAAAAATTGTAATTCAGGACTGTATTGCAGGTACTTTACACATTTAGGTCTTAACAAAGAATAACATTGTTTTAGTTAATGAAAAAATGCAAATTATTTAAACAGTTTTTGAAATAGGAGTCATCAGTAGGGTACTGCTTGTAAGGATATTTGTGTACAGGTATGTTTTTAGATACTTTACTTAATTTTCTTAGCCTGGTTGAAATTAAAAAAAATCAAACCAAAAGAAAATCTATTTAATAAATAGGATGGTTCCTAATCCTCATCGGATCTTTCTATTTTTATTTTCTTGTGGCAAATAGTGCTGAATGGCTATTTCCAGTTCATTTCAAAAACAATTCAGTTTTATTTTGTTTTCCATCCATTGTTTATAACATTCATTTGTCATTTTTGTCATTTTGTAGACCTACCAAGAGCAGCTGTCAGGATCTTAAGCAACATGACATTCCTTTTTGTGAGTTTGTCATACACAGCTGAGAGTGCCATTGTAACTGCTTTCATTACCTTCATTCCCAAGTTCATCGAGTCACAGTTTGGTATCCCAGCTTCCAATGCCAGCATCTACACTGGTAAGGTACTGCCGTTAGGGCTTCTTGAAAACATGACCATTTTGACCATGAAATAGAATGGGTGAAGAGAAAGTTTAATCTAACATCAAAGTGTTAAACAAGTTCATTAACAGCTACCATTCCCCCCAGATTTTAGGAAGAGGAAATCCTGGAATGTGTTCTCCTTGATTTAGATTGTATTGCCATGTGCCATATTTACTGTGTTTTGGAAAGAAAGAAATTTTGCATATTTATGTTTTATCATTCTCAATCAAAAAAATGGAATAGGCAATGACATCCAAACTTAAATCTGAATAGATGTTTTTATGGGTTGGCATGGGTATGGGTCTCGAAGTGTTAAGTTAAAAAAATTGATAATCTGTAATATAGATCAGTTCCATAGTATCAGGATTTCCCCTTCATAAATGTGAACAGATTTTAATTGAATTACTAATTGAGATGAGTGAAGTTAAAAAGGAAATTTATGAAATTTTATTATAAATGTCTTATGTCTGGACAAACTGATGTTTATGAGATTTGATACACTTACCCATAGTGTATACCAGTGTACAAACTGATGTTTATGAGATTTGATACACTTACCCATACACTTACTCCAGTCCTCTTTCATAGTAAATTGGGTACCTAGAAATGTGGAAACATTAATTCTCAGATGTTGGGGGAATTTTCAGTATATCATGGAATATCCTAGGTATTTTCTTAGTGTTATCAAAGGTGGCTAAATGACTGTATCTTCCTAAAGGCTCAATTTATTAATAAAATATATTTAAACAGTGTAGGATTATGATAACTTTTCAGGTGATTTAGGCTCCCACCTTCTCCAATTCCACATTAAAACCCAGTGAACTTCAATTTCCTGAAAAAGAACAGGCAAGCAAAAGAAGTAGATTTGAAATATTTGGGTAATCACTTTGTTCTTTACTTTGTCTTTCACATGTGAAAACATATAAAATTGGGTTGTGGGTCCAGGATTGTAAATATTTTTATAAAGAATATACTGCTGTGGACCATTGTAATTGTGACCTAAAAATATGTTTTCCTCTATCTTGGTTTCAAAAAAATATATGTTTTCCTCTGTTAAGGCAAAATTTTCAGATTATTTTATGTTTTGGTTGTCAGAAAATCTAAACCCTCCATTTCTAGTTTGACTCTCCCACTAACCTTTGTTGAGCAACGATTCTTAGGGAAACCGAGAGTTGTCTTGTGGCTAGATTCAAAGCCACATAGCTGTTAATCGTAGAGTGGCCTCAAGGATTTCCCAAACTAAGTTTCAACATTAAAAGGTGTCACTAGATAGAAGGTTCTTAGTAAAATAAATGTGAGACTTGCTGAGTTAAACAAAGTATTACAGAATTTTTTATCGGAGGACTTCTCATCACCCTTCATATACCACTATGCTTTATGAAACTCCCAGAGGAAGATTCAGAGTCTTTTACAAATTTGACCATACAACTCAATTTTTTTTAGTTGCATCATCCTCATCCTCATGAGTAGTGTTCTCCAGGACACATATGGGGAAGCCATTCCACATGCCCCCTTTCCAGCCAGACTAGGGAGCAGGGCTTGTCTAGATCATTCCATTTCCTTCTGCATGTGCCACTTTGACCCCCAGGGTTACTGAAGCAGTGGCACAGTGCTGGGCTGGGTGGGAATTGATGCGCCCTGAATGCATATTGACCAGAGCCACCTCTTAATTGCCAGTAGAGGCAGAGGCTAGATAGACAACTCCTTGTGGGAAAATGGCGTAAAGAGCTCAGGTGTATCTAGGGGTGTTTGGCTGCAGAGTTCCAAAATGGTGTGTTCGAGGCAGTAGACACCAAATGGCCAGGGGAGTGCAGGATTGAATAAGGCTAACTCAAAGAGTCTGTTCATCTCATGCTCCAATGTCAGAATTAATGAAGCAGTATCACATAGTGCCAATTCCATTCTGGTTTTGTCATTAGCGGGTTTTTTTTTGGGTTTTTTTTTTACCATTGCCAGTGCAATTGATACAATGTTTGATAGTCTACTGTGTTCTGATAAAAGGCTTTCTATTTCCAGCTCACATACTTTTTCTTTTCTTTACAGATAGACAACGAATAATAATAGTCAAGAGATAGTCAGGTCGACTAAGAGTAGAGGGTAGCCTGTTATAGTACAGTAAGATTAAACAGGGATGATAATTCTTTTTAAAAAACTTCTTGGTTTTTTTTTTTGAATTTTTATCAATTGAATCCTTCTTACTCTCTGAGCATATATTTTTTTAAAGGACTTATTTAAGTCTTCTTTTCTCCGAATCCCTTTTTATGCATGTAGAAGGAAATGGAGAATTAAGAAATTTATCTGAAAAAGATTTAAAAATAGTTTTAATTTCTCATCTGACAAAGTTTTTGAGTTCAAGGTCTCTTTTCATTTTAAAAAAACTGGATAAATACCTTGACCCTCCACAGCAATTTGCTCGTGTTGTGTTACATGATAAAGATGAAGCACAGGACTTGTATCAAAAGACCAGGCCTTGCTGCTTTGCTCCTTCCTCCCCGTCACTGCTGCACGCCAGCTGTACCCAGGGCACTGTGCTTGTGCGTGGCCGAGGAAATCGAAAGACTCAGACCAGAGCCTTAACTCGCTCGTCGATCTGGGAGGAGAAAGCTTATGAAATACGATAGAAAAGGCTGTCTAAATAAATTAATAGGAGATTTGGGTTGCAGAGATTATTTTGGCTGGTGGGGATAATGTATTTTGAGTTGCATTTCATGGAGGAAATGGCTTTTAACCAGGCTTTTAAGGGAAAGTAGAATTTGCCATTTGGAGTTCGGAGGAGAGGCGTTTTGTTCCCTGTGGAGGAACCGCCCGAGCTAAGGCAAAGCAGCAGGGGAGGGTAAGGCTTACTCTGGCAAAGAGAATTACAAAAAGAGCAGTTTATCCCTACACCAGAAACAGAGAGCTCTAAAGGCAAGCTGGCTGTGTGTGAGTGTGAGGGTGAGTGTGTATTGGGGTGGGAAATCTGCTTCAGTTACTTCAGCACCACTTGGCTCGCACTGTGATCACATGGGACACCTGTGCCCTGGTGGGCAGTGGTGGCACCAGTGTTCGGTGAGGCTGTCATGGAAACACCGTGGTGGACCCCACTTTCTCCTCCTGTGTGTAGAGTGTTTCTACCCAACAAGGGGTCTGTGTCACAGTACACTCGTGCTGTTCATGGTCTTTCTGCCAGCCACTGGGGGGGGGGTCACATTTATCTCTTGGAACTAATTAAATATTGTGAAGTTGGTATTTTGGAAAAGTCTGTAATGATGGGAAGAGACCTGCATGAGAAGTTAGCCAGGCTGCCCTTGAATCCAGCCATTGCTGGTTACTAGCTGAGTGACTGGGCAAGTTAGTAGCTGGGTGACTTACCTCCTTAAACTTCAGCTAAAACCGGAAGTTTGTCTGTAGGATGAGGGTAATCTCTCCCCATCTGTCTGAGTCAGTGTTGTAAGGATGAAAGGAAGTAGTGAACGGTGATTTGTTTTGAAGCTTATTTAACTTCAGAGCTTATTTATAATATAAATGGGAAAATATAACCTAATCATATTATAGGAAATAAAATTATTATTTATGACGATAGCACTTTACATTTGAAGTTGTGCAGTTTGGACATTCCTGAGAATGAAATCTCTGTAGTAATAATGATGGCAATAAAACAACTCCTGACATTGATTGTTTACTAAGTGCAAGACTTTGTCTAAGCATTTTTATGTGTATAACATCATTTAATGCATGTAACAAATGCCTATGCAGTAGGTATTATTAATGTTAATTATGCCATTTTCCAAATGAGGAAACAAAGGCCTAGATAGGTTTAAGTAACTTGCTTAAAGGCAAATAGTAAGTGTTAGAGCCAGGATGCTAGAGTCTTGAACTCCTTGGAGTATATAAATATCAATGTGTGATTTTTTATTGAAATATTATAATAAGCATATGCTATTGTCATCATTTCCATTCAGTTTTTTCACTATTTCTAAAGAAAAAACATTCTGATAGTTTTAAGATTCTACTGCCATCTACTCTATATAAGCCTTTGACACTGAACTATGGTTAACAACAGTCATTTTCAGCACTTTGATCTTTTAGCATCACCTTTGCTGGGGAACCTACCCTTTGGTGTGTAGAATTATAGAGAGTTAGATATTAGTTTGTCTTTACAAGAGAAGTAGTCTTGGAAAATTCTGATTTGTTTTTCACTGTAGAATAATCAAGATACTTACCGTGTTTCCCCGAAAATAAGACCCATCCATAAAATAAGCCCTAGCAGAATTTCTAAGCATTTGCACAATATAAGCCCTATCCTGAAAATACGACCCAGTGATGGGCGTGGCTATGAAGCGCATCTGCACAACCCATGCATTTTGTCGCAGAGCGGTAAAGAAGATGAGCAGCCCTTCTCATCTGCCCCATGAGAGCTCTATTGCTGGACATGAGAGATCGGGGCCAATGGTTCTCAAGGAAATAGAGTTGCAAGAAATTCAGGATGGAATTCAGGGTTTGGAGAGTTATGACAATGTTCCAGAAGAAGATGACTTATTTGAATAAATGTAGATTGTTGGATTGTACTTAAAAAAAAAACACATCCCCTGAAAAATAAGCCCTAGGGTGTCTTCTTGAGGAAAAATAAATATAAGACCTTGTCTTATTTTTGGGGAAACATGGTATTTCTGTGGTAAGGGGATTAGATTGGAGTATAATTTTTTAAAAAAAATTTATTGCAATTTTTACTGTTAAGTACCCAAGTATTTGCTATCTGTCTTCAGCCACTGATTTGGGGTTTGATGGTGAAATTCAAGCCAGAGTCACTGAACTCACATTGCAGCCTTTGGGAGTCACTTCATGTGTTCAGATTCGAGAAGGATATGAACTTGCTTTGATTTATGTCATTCTTCTGAAGGCATACACAGCTTTTTAATTTTTAAATTAAAATTAATGTGTGTTTTAATTTTATAAGAGTGTTTTTTTTAAAGTCTATTTTTATACTAGTTTTATAA